TCCAAGCGTGGGGTGGTCGCGGATCGGGGTGGTGTCCCCGATCCGGGGCACATCCCGCGTCCTTGCGCCGGCAGAGCCAGCTGCACCTCAACTGCTCCAACGGCTCCAACGGCACCGGCGACTGCAGCTGGGCGCCCTTCGGTACGTCCCCCCTCCTAAAAATTAATCAAAATCACTAATTAAAACACATTCCGGGAATTAAAACGATCCCAAACACCCCCCGCCGCGAGCACCTTTTTTTTTATTATTCCGGTGGCCGCTCCGGGGGCCGAAGGGCACCGGCGGCACCGGAACATCGCCCTCTCCCGCTCCGGCTCCCGGCAGACGGGGACAACTACAAGGAGCTGTTCGGCGCCCTGGATAACGCCTTCCTGGTGGCCTACGCCGTGGGAATGTTCATCAGGTGCGGCCGGGAAAACCGCTCCGGCTCCCTCCATTTCCTTCTGCTTTTCCCTCTGTTTCCCTCTCTTCCCCCCATTTCCCTTCCTTTCCCCCATTTCCTTTTCTTGCCCCCATTTCCTTCTCTTCCCCTCCTCTATTCCCACTTTCCCCCAATTTTTCCTCCTTTTCCCTCTACATCCTTCTATTTCCCTCCATTTTCCCTCTCTTCTTTCCCTTTATTTTGCCCTCTATTTCACCCCATTCCTCCCATATTCTTCCCTATTTCCCCCATTTCCCCCCCACTATTTCTCCCTATTTCCCCCTCTTTCTCCCTATTCCCCCCTCTATTTCTCCCTATTCCCCCTCTATTTCTCCCCCTATTTCTCTCCTCTCTTTCTCCTGTTTCTTCCTTATTTCCCTCTATTTCTCCCCTTGTTCCTCCCCACTGTTTTCTCTCCCATTTCCCCCTCTATTTCTCCCCCTATTTCTCTCCTCTATTTCTCCTGTTTCTTCCTTATTTCCCTCTATTTCTCCCCTTGTTCCTCCCCACTGTTTTCCCTCCATTTCTTCCTCTTATTTCCCTCTATCTCTTTCTCTCTTATTCCCTCTATTTCCTCTCATTCTCTTCCCCTTCTCTCTTTCTTCCCCTATTTCTCTCATTTTTCTTCCCTGTTTTCCTTATTTCTCCGTCTATTCTCCCATTTTCTTCCCTCTATTTCCCTATTTTCCCCTCTATTTCTTCCCCATTTCCCCCTCTATCCTCCCATTTCCTTCCCTCTATTTCCCCTCTTCCCTATTTTCCCCTCTATTTCTTCCCCATTTCCCCCTCTATCCTCCCATTTTCTTCCCCTCTATTTCCCCTCTTCCCTATTTCCCCCTCAATTCCTTCCCCATCCTCCCATTTCCCCCCAATTCTCTCCCCCTATTCCCTCTTCCCCCCATTCCTCCCCTGTATTTCCACCTCCCCTATCCCTTTCCCTATCCCTCTCCCTCCATCCCGGCCCCTTTTCCCGGCAGCGGGATCTTCGGCGAGCGGCTGCCCCTGCGCTACTACCTCTCCAGCGGGATGCTGCTCAGCGGCCTCTTCACGGCGCTCTTCGGCCTCGGATACTTCTGGAATATCCATGTGCTCTGGTACTACATCGTCATGCAGGTGGGATGCTTCCCCCCCCGCTCCTCCTCCTCCCAAATCCAGCATTTTTCCGCTGGGAAAAAAAAAAAAAGGAGACCGTTTAGTGCGGAAGGGATCGGACGGATTCACTCGTGTGATGGGTTGGCAGGGCCCAACTAGGTCGGGGGGG